CGCACATATGTGCTAGTTAGTCATTCCCGACTCTAGGGGGCGGTGCTCATCTCCGTTTCAAAGCCGAAGAGCCAGCGCTGTCCGAAGATGTCTCCGTGGTCATGTGGCTGGCATGACTCAACGCCGAAGGCGCACGGAACGCTGTTCCCTTCCCACCAAAGGTGGTCCCTATTTTTCTACTTGCATTTTTTACGTGCTATCGAACTGCTAGGTTGGCAGAAGCTGGGACAAGCCACGGGAGCTCACTCCTAGGGATTCGAACCACCGAACTGCCAACCTTTCTGATCGACAAGCTCAGCGTCTTAGCCCCTGAGCCATCACGTCCCTCTAAGAGTTATTAAAGCGCATTTTTAAAAAAAGAATGTGGCTGAGCCAATTCCTGAGGTATTAAAATCTACCTACCATACTGATAGAAGGTAAGTCCTTTGCTTCGAGCGCTCCTTCGGATTTCGTTGATGGCTACCAGGAGAGTAGCTGCAACAGGATCAACACAATTATTTCATTAAACAAGACGATGGGAAAAACCGTCTCCCAGTCCCACCCACGCAGCTCTTTTAATTTTTGGGTAAAAGAATCTAGAAAAGCTATCACTTAAAAATGAGACGGGAACCGTGAAACAATTTCAATATTGTGTTTGCATCGTAAGCCGCCCAGAGTCGCTGGGATCAGTGAGATGGGAGGCGTAAAAGTTTAACAAATAAAAGAAAAACGAAGAATTCTAAGGATTTTCCTCAGTATCGTTTTTCCCTCTGGTGGCAGGTAAAGACTTGGGATTTCTCTAATCACCCAATTCCATTTTGGCTTCCCGAATGATTTCCCTCACAGCTTAAAACCTGGGGGGAAAAAGGGGGTCAGTTCAGATGATCTCACGAGCCAGAACCAACTGAACATAAAATCCGGGATGGCAAAGCTTTGGGGCCCTGAGAGATACTGAAATTCTTGAGCTTTCATGGACTTCCTTCACGCCTTCAGCTCTTTCTTTTCTAGAAATCCACTGGGGGCCCTAACGCCAAGTCCTTCTCTTTCTGGCCAACTGATAATTAACCAGGGTCCAATCTGAGTTGATCACCAGAGATTTAGTCTTTCAAGGATTTCTGCCGGAGCTCATTTTCAGGGAATGGTCTGGTCGCCAACGGAGCTGGCAGCAGAGTTGGGCAGTGAGGAGGTTGGGGAAGGCTCAGACAAGGGTTGGAGGCAGAGAGGGGGCCAGGACCATCTGCCTTTGGAGCTAGACAGCAGTGAATCAGAAGAACAGCTGGAGCCTGTTCCCAGTGTGCGCGTGCGCAGAGCTGCCAGAAGAAAAGAACAGCTCAGAAATCAGGGTCGTCTTGGGAGTAAAGCCACAGGTGGAAGGGGATTGGCCCCTCCCATAGACATAAAAGGAGGACCGAAAGGGGAGGGGGCTTTTTCAGGAAACAATTTGTTCGGTCGTTAAGATTGGTTTCAGGAGTGTGAAGATCTGTCCATGAAACTCAGAGATTCTGTGCCCAAGTCTTTCCTTGCACAGCACCTCATTTGGGAAAATATTCCCATGGCAGCTTTCCAAGCTAGATAAGGTCTGTGGTCATAAATCCACCTTT